TTTATCTTCGTGGATGGTGATTATACACCTAAGGACCTTACTAAAGAGGATAGATATATATTAATTGAATTGAACGAAAAAGAGATGACATTGTTTCGTTTTACTACTCTTTTAACGTTAGGTCACTTCTCGTTACACCTGTTTTATATTAGCGGGTGGTTTATGGGTTACGGAACATATTTGAAGAGTCAACGGAATAATAAAGGTCATAAAACGCGTGGAAACGAAATTGATAGCGATCTGCCGTTATCGAAAGAACCTAATGGCGGTAGAGAATTTGTTGAAGTCGCAAACATGTCGAACACCAACGAAGATGTGACGACTTCATGCGATAATGACAAAAGAAACATATCTGATACATCCCCCGTAGCCATGAAAATTTCAATTTCTTACGGTGTTACGCATCCACAAAAAAAAAGTGAGACTGATAATGACCATGTTAATTTAACTGCGACGCAACTATTGGAAACGTTAGATGATGTTCCTGAAGGACAATCTTTAATGCAACAACAAAAACCCGATGAAGTTCTCGATGACATTAAGACTACGACCGATGCCCGATCGACTACTATCGAAACTTCAATTACCCAAAATTCTATTTCTCGAAGAAGCAACACGGGCAACACCGATATTGCAGATCATCAGCAACATGAGAAGATGGCTACTTCTGCCGAAACAACGTTTCTGGGTAATAAATTCGTTAGAAATGTGTTGCTTTGGTCAGCGGCTCAAGGGTGGGAGGCAAAGAAAAAAACAAAATGGCATTGGTGGCATACCACTGGAACGGGGTATGGTATTTTAGTGCATGTTGTGTTCGTGTGTTGGTACGTGTGGGCTTTAGAAAACTTATATGACCGTTTTGGTGGAAATGCACGACTCCTTTTTTAAAAATATTTGGTAAAAACTTTTTTTTGTAAATGGGAGTTACGTGTATTACGAATAGTAATGACCAAAGTCGTCTCGATAAAGAGGACAAGGTGATTGATTATACATAAACTTAGTTGTATTTTTAGTAAAGGTATTGCAAAAAAAAAGCTGCTCTACACTTCCTTAAGTCATTTCAACCTTACCGTATAGGCGCGAAATAACACCCATGTGCGTTATTTTGAAAACAGCTCATTTAAAAAAATAAATATTTATTTT